AAAAACCGAAGCTGCACCACGCAACTATGTACTGTTGTTAACGATTTAACCAAGGCTTTGGATTTGGGTTTCCAGGTGGATCTCTTTGTACTGGACTTCGCAAAAGCATTTGATAAGGTACCCCATGAACGCTTGAAGACGAAACTGCACCATTACGGTATTGACAGTAAAACACTGTCTTGGATTGACTCCTTCTTGTGTGAACGAATGCAAAGAGTGGTATTGTGTGGTCATAAATCATCATGGTCAAGAGTAACTTCTAGTGTCCCCCAAGGGACGGTACTTGGACCACTATTGTTTAAYTTATTTATTAACGACATCACTGATAACATCAATTCCGAAATAAGACTCTTTGCAGATGATTGTGTTTGTTACAACATCATCAAATCCAACAGTGACTGCGAAAACCTTCAGAGTGACATCAATAAACTTGCATTATGGGCTAAAAAATGGAGTATGTCATTCCAAACATCCAAGTGTAAGACCATGAGAATATCCCGGAAGACTAAAAATAACATCGTCTATTTATACTCCATGCAGGATACCCCACTTGAGACTGTAACACACATGAAATATCTTGGTGTTACTATATCTTGTGATCTAAGATGGAATCGACATACTCATGATATCTGTAATCGTGCAAACAAGATGCTTGGCTTCCTTAGACGAAATCTATACAGCTGCAATCGTGATGTGAAGCTTGCTGCTTATCATGGCCTCATAAGACCAATCCTTGAATATGCAAGCCCTGTGTGGGATCCTCACACAGCTGCGCTCACCAGTGAAATAGAGAAAGTCCAGCGCAGAGCAGCGAGGTTTATTTCATCAAATTACATAACGAGTTTTCAACCTGGAGGAATGACAGAAATCTTGCGTCAACTAAAACTAGAAACACTTGAAAAACGTCGTAAAATAGCAAGGCTAACTCTTTTCAACCGGGGTATAAACAAGATGGCAGTACTGCCACTTAATGATCTTCAAGTTCCTACAAGAAGACTAAGGAACATGCATGCAATGTACTTTAGACCGTTATTTGCTAGAACCAATATATATAAATTTAGTTTTTTACCTAGAACTATCATTGATTGGAACGAAATCCCACAGAACATTATCGAACAAAGTAATCATCACATTCAATTTGTTAAATTAATAACAACACGACAGTAATCAAATATTATRATATTGTAATATGCATCAAACCTCATGCGCTGTGCAATTTATTTTTTGTTCTCAAAAGGTAGCACAATAAAACTTAAGTGAAGTGAAGTGATTATTCAAGGTATAGTGGACGGAAGAAAACTATTCATTGATGTCGCTGCTGGATTTCCCGGGAAAATTACATGACGCACGTGTATGCCGCAACAGTCCAATCTATCGGAAGGCAGAGAACGGTGATATTTTAACAGAGCCACTGTATCAAATAGGAAATAGACAAATAAAACCGTACCTNACGACCCTGATAACAGGGATAACAACAATGACATACTAGCAGATGGCGATGCAATAAGAGAACTACTAAAAGACTGTTTGTAGTGAAATATTTTAATATAATCACTGTGATTAACTTTCCTATAAACAAAACATTATTACACAATATAAAGTGTAAGAATTATAATTGTTATGTTTAAAGTTTTATGCTCAAAAGTGCGTAAAAATAGCAAAAAAAATATACTCTGATTGAATTATTAATTATATGAAAAATATTATACTTGTTATAAATGTAGCGAGATTTAAACTCTCTTATTAGAACAGTAACAAATCCGTAACACAACATGACTTCAGTTCAAATATTTAACTGGACTTGCAATCTGTATTAAAGTACTTTGTGCAAAAAAAACTTACGCAGTTTATTTCTTCATTGCCTCAAGCATAGAACTCATAAACTGGGTCATCATTTGTAGCTGTTGTGTCTGCGATTTTTGCATATTCTCGATCACAGCTGTAAGCTTGTTTCCCTGATCGGCGACTGAATTTAGAGCCGTAGCAACATCTATTTCATCCCCATCTCCTTCGTTAGTATCTCGCTTCCTCTTCTTGCGCTGTCTCCTCTTATTTTGTACTTTGTCTGGAGAAGAATCAGAGCTACCCGCAACATTGCGTTTACCTGGCGATGAGCTGGTCGAGTTTGATCCACTAGCAGAGTTTTCAGCAGAGTTTTCAGGACGAGTGCTGTCTTTCACGTGTTTAAGAGTCACAATGTCGCGACATCCTAGCACTGAATCAATTTCGTCATAATGTGGGCTTTTCCAACGATTGCCCCCGGTCTGTTTTCTRTTCCAGTCCTTCCTTTCTTTGTACTTATCAACCCAGTACTTGATTTTACGTTGGCATTTCTCTACTGTACGGTTTTGTCCAAACTGTTTATTTAGTGCATCGACTATTTTGGACCACACTTTGCGCGAGTTCTTGCTTTCCAACTGGTCGTGGTTTTCTCTMCRCAGATTGRMTAGGTATTGCTCCTCATCAGCAMCAARTGTTTCATATTGTTTGGGCTTTCCTTTCCCTTTAGTCGGGCCTTTAGTGGTCTTTGTATTCTTACTTGCTGCAGTTGTATTTGATTGTCTCTCGACAGTAGAAGTAGCTTCGCTATTCAACTGATCGCCATCCTCTTCCTCTTSACTTTGAGATGTCCCCGGATACGCAAAATTTGATATATCTCCCATTGGCCTGTGCTGAACCATAGGCGGAGTAGCAAAAGCTGAAAACATTGGAGAACCATAATAGTTGAAATCATAGTACGGGTATCCTCGAGTTGGCTCCATCGCTAATGGCGGTAAAACTACTTGATACGTGAGGTTTTTAAACTGGTCTCGCGACGTGAATTTGACATTCGATAATTGATGGCTGTCAAGAAACAAAAGAATTTTCGCACTACCAAAATTTTGGAGGTCTCCGAGGCAGGACACCGGCTTCTTTGAAGTTTCGTAATACCGGGCAAAATTTGGTACTCGTGTTTGCACTTAAAAACCGCTCTTGATGACAGATATTTTTGCAAAACAAACAAAATTTTGTCTAGTGCAAACGCGCCCTTCAGGTCATCCACAAACTTGGAGCGGGTACTCCAATCAGAAATAGTCGGGGCGCGACGAGATAAGGGGACGAGATAAGGGGACTTTTTATGACATACTCCAACTGTCGGCATGGAAACGAGGTTGAACAATAATTTGTGTGTGTGAGTGTGTTTTTTAAAGCTCTGGGTGCCGTAAATCAACAACTAAACACCACTACTTAGCAATGCACACATAAAGGAGTACACAATGCATGTCACGTGACTGGTCACGTGACTTTTTTTAATAGAAATATGGCTCTGAAACTAAATTTTACCATTTGCTGCACACTTTCTCTAACAAAGTTCTGACATTGAATTAAACTACAAAATCTACAGGATTATTTGCGCTTGTCACTTTTATGGAGTTACTTCATCATCTTCAGATTCATACTCCATTGTAATGTGGTTTGGATTGCTACAAGATCCCGTTCAGCCACCACCAATAACTAGACATTTACCTTGAGGTAGCTCTTCTCTGCCAAGTTCCGATAGCATCTGTGTCAGAAATATACAAAGGTTGGTTTTGTTCTTTGGATTGCTCGTCCATTGCTTGGGAACTGGTGTAGAGGGGCTATTGATCTTGACTTCTAATGCACTTGAAGAACCTCCTTTGACCGCTCATGTGGAATGTTGCTAAATTTGTCAACAGATTTTAAAAGATTCCTAAAAGTAGCTCCGTTAACACACTCAAAAATACTTAAGAAAGATTTTCAAACTCAGTCACGGCTAATCCAAATAATAAAAAATGATGACTTATTGTAAAATATTACAAAAAAGTGTCTAAAGTTATTTCTCAGAGACAATGCCAAATGGCATTGAAATGGTTTCCTCAAGGTACTAATATTCAAGCGCTTATGGCCTTGTTTCTTTTCTTTTTTTCGTTTTCACACGGACTTCGAAAACAATTGTTAGAAACACTGTTACTGATACAATTGAAATTGTTGCATTTCAAACACAAATTTAAACATAGAAAAGTTTCTAAAAACTGTAAACAGAAGAATGTCTTTGCCATTGAGGCTAAGCCATTTGGTTCACTCTTCTTTAGCTGATCAATTTTGTCATTTAGTTCATTAGCCTCGAGTTCCATATCCTTTATTGTCCTCTTGAAGCTGTTAGCTTTCGTGACATGCAATATCTTGCGTTCTTTTTCTGCTAATTCCATTAGCTTGTCAACACTCTCTTTGAGTTGAGAAGAATCTTCTAGTATACGTCTCCTCCTTGTTTGCGTAGCGAAAATTTCATCATTGACATCCTTGTTCATCCGCTCTTTTTCTCTCTCTTTCCGTTTCTTGTTGTTTCCTTAGCTCATTTCGGTAAATGGAAGACGCATTTCGTGCAGCATTTCTTAAATCCTGATCGATCTTCACGTTTAACACCCCTCCACACTTCTTGATGTGGTCATAAATTGTACGCATTGCAATCACTGACTTTTCTTTGAAGTTACATTGCATTAACTCACTATTGATGCTGAATCCTCTTTCAACGCCAGCCTGGCCGTGGGATAACACAATAAGACATTGCACAAGCTGCCATAGTTTGAAGAAATGACTCTTGCCTTTCAAAAGACTTGCTAACAGTGAGTCAATTCGTTCATCTTTCACTTTGTCGTAACCTTTGAGCTTCAGGAGTGTTTAATGGTTGCCATGAATCTCGTTGGACAAAAACTGATGGTACTGACGCTTAAGGTTATCTGCATCCATTTCTCTCACTTTGCATCAATTAAGCAATTTAATAACCTCCCAAACAGTTTCAACGAGGAAGTAACTGGGCCTGCCATGACATGAGGATCTAAACATCTAATACAGCGTACGGAGTGGTACTTCAGGGGGCACTTTTCTAACATCTTCTCTGTTGTACGAGTGAGAAATGTCTTACAATGAACCATGAATTCGAGCTCTTCTTTTTGTGTGATTTTACCATCTCGACGTAAGCTAACTAATTCCCTCTTTGTTGCAATGCCAACATCGATTGATTTCGCTGACTTGGTATTATCTGTTGATAAAATGTCCACTTCTGCAAGTTTGAGATATGAGTTAGCACTTTCCATTACTGCATCCTTTACGAACCGTGCCATGATATTTCTTAGAAGGCTCTCTAGGTCTGATGCCAGAAACGGTATGAGTGGTCTATCTGCTTGATATAACTTCAAAAAGGTTGAAAATCCCGAGCAATGGTGATCCAAAATAGATGTTTAGCCTTTAAGAGATTGTCTGAAATTGCTACTTCTTGCACCAGATTGTAGTCTTCATGCTTTTGGGGCTCTGTCTTTCTAAGCTTTGCTTGAGTACAATATTCCTGTATGTTTGGAATCAACATAAGTGATTTGCTAGCTACATCAAGGTTCTCTAACCATCTGTTAACAAAGAAGAAAGTGCATTAGTTAAAGATATCATATGACCAAGGCATAAATTAAATAAATTAAATAATAATAAATTAAATAAAACACTTACCTATGATTGCAAAATTTGGATGGAAAAACTGTTGAGCCAGTATAGGTTACAAAATCTTCGCGGCGAGCTGGGGAATCCTTGAAAAGTTTATATTCTTTAAGGAGGTACTGATCAAGGTTCCAATCGGTGGATTTTGCTCCAACCTGGAAGGCTCTATGGGCTATGTGTAACCCACATGTTCCAAGATCCAACAGTGATGGCAAATTGTACTCTGTACGATGTTCCTGGAGCTTTTTAAAAAATGACAAATTTACATTTGGCCCATCCATGCCCACTTGCCATGTCCTAGCTTGATCAAGGTCCTTTGTTGCTTCGGC